CCAAATGTTAGTCATTTCACCTCTCAGTAGATCGTTGTTCTTTTTTTGGTAACATATTTATTGAGATATATAATTCACATACCATACAGTTCCCACAGTTAATATGTATAATGCAATGGTTCTTAGTATATTGAGTTGGGCAGCCATCACCATAGTCCATTTTAGAATTGAAACTCCTAAGGAACTACCAATCTCCGTTTTGTCTTTATTGATTTGCCTGTTCTGGAAATTTCATATAAATGGAATCATACAATATGTTGTCTTTTGTGACTGACTTCTCTTTCTTTGCATAATGTTTTTAAAGTTCATCAGTGTCGTAGCATGTATCAGTATTTCATTCATTTCTATGGCCAAATAATTCTAGTAATCCATTCTTTGGATATATCACATTTTGTTTATCCCTTCATGTTTGGGTTGTGTCTGCCTTTTGTCTATTATGAGTAATGCTGCTATGAATACTTGTGTACAGATTCTGTGTGGACATATGTTTTCAGTTCTTTTGGGTATGTACCTAGGAGTGGAATTGCTGGCTCAAATGGTAACTCCATGTTTAACATTTTGTGGAACTGCCAAATTGTCTTCCAAAGTGGTTGCACCATTTTACATTCCCACCAGCAGTGTATGAGAATTCCAGTTTCTCTGTATCCTCCCCAGCACTTGTTATTGTCTCTGTTTTTCATTATAGCCATCCTAGTGGGTGTGAAGTGGTTTTGATTTGCATTTGCATGACTAATGATGTAATGATGTTTGACCTGATGACTATGATGCTGAATGTCTTTTCATATGCTTATTGGCCATTTGTATATCTTCTTTGAAGAAAAGTCTATTTAGATCTTTTATCTGTCTTTGAATTGGATACATCTTTGTCACATCGTAGAAACTTAATGACTTATGAGAATGAATCAGTATATAAAATTGTCCCTCATAATTGTCTATTATTAGGGAGTAAGTAATAATGTTTGTGAGACCAGGGAACATGCTTGTCTTTCTAGTGGTTATATATGCCTAGAAGACAATCTGATAGCTTGGCATCTCATAGGTCTTCAATAACAGTTTGTTGAGTGAATAAATGTTTGATTGTAATGTGCTTCATAATAGCACAACTAACTGAAGAAATTATCAGTATGATTTATGGTTATTTTAATGAGCATGGTATTAACTGGAAAATATGTGCAAATATGTGAATAGATGGTATCAGATCCATGATCTGAAAAACGAGCTCAGAGCCACCACGCTTGTCAGATACACTAGTGGACACTGCCTGGTTCACTCAGGACACTTGACCTGTGGTTCATTCACCGATTAATGTTGTCAGTGTTTATTTTTAACAGTGATGTCAATACTCATCTTTTAAAAACTGCCCTTTTTTGAAAAAGGGAAGTGTGTATTACAGAGGCATATACTGGCTTAGTCAGAAGAGGTATGCTATGGGGGCTGGCCCGGTGGCGCACTGGATAAGTGCGCCGCTTGGGAAGCGCGGTGACACTCCCGCCCGAGGATTCGGATCCCACATACAGACCGGTTCCAGTGAGGGGCAACACCGAGGGTTGCAATCCCATTGCCGGACACGGAAAAAGACAAATTTTAAAAAAAAAAAAAAAAAAAAAAAAAAAAAAAAAAAAAAAAAAAAAAAAAAAAAAAGAAGAGGTATGCTAGCTAAATTGCTCATTTTCCTCCTGGAAAAGAATTAAACAATAGGACATCCTGACAGAGTAAATACAAACTGAAACTGGATAAGGTGAATGAATTCACCATTTGACTTAATAAGGAATATCTCCAAAAGTGGCTTGTTGGGCAGATCTTTTTCAAGCGTAGAAACTTAAGCAGCAACTGTGAAAGGTTTTGTTGCAAATGTGAGATCACTCTGCCATGGAAACACAATTTGAGAGTTGGATGAAGGTGATAGATAGTATGTCTCATCAGTCCTTTGGGATTCTTAATTTCAGGAATTAAAGAGTGATTAAAACTTTAGTGATTTAAGAAAATAATAGTTTTTTATAATCTTTACACATTAAAACAAGTAGTGTCATAAAAATTTCTCAAGTCAAATAGAGTGGCCAGTGGCTCAGAGGCACTTTCCTTACCGTATACATGAGGGACTACATCTCTGAGCAAGACACAACTATAAAACATCCACCAACAGCCTAAAACATTGCTACACTACAGCACTCTGGATATCTCTCCTCAAGTTAAAAACAAATTATTGCAAATATTGTGACATTTTGAGAAAAAGGAACACTGCCTAAATGCTACGTCTGTTATACAATGTCTTCTTTTGACTTTAGCCAGTTTTCCAACATTAATAAATTCAGTGAAATAGCATCTCACCTGTAAGTCAGTGAGAAAGGGAATAAATATTTTTTTCCTCATGGTTATTTAAAATATTATATTTAAATTAAAAATAATATGGGCTTTGGAAAATATTCTATCATCATAATGATATCTATACAATTAAAATATTTTATATGTTTAATAAGAAAGAATCCAGAATTTTCATGAGTATTTAAGATAAAATAGGAGACTGAGAAGATACTCTTTGCTTCAGCCAAGCTCCAGGCCTCTTATGTGAATTTTCACTTCTGTGCAGTTGAGGCTGCTTTGAGAGACAAGTTTGAGACGTTCCAGTATTCATGGTTTCTCTGTCTGTTGCATGAATTTAAAATCTCCCCCTTTAGGAGGTTCTCATAGTAGGTTCCTAGCAGGAAAGAGACCACAAGATAGCCTGGGATTTTTTAATAGAATTAACATAGTGACTATTTACAGAGAGAATTTTCAGAGGGGAGGGTTAAGGGAACCCAGAAGAGGTGTCGAGGCAGCCACAGAAAGCCATTCCCACCTCTAGGCCGGAAGGTGTTAGTTACCAGGTCCTATGAGCCAGATCTGTGGAAAGGGGACCATCCCAAACCTGGAATGTAGTCATAGAGGGACACAGCCTCCAACAGAAACACAGCTCTGAGGCAGGGAAGATCCGCTCTGACCTCTCTCTCCTCCTGTACTGCCCTCTCCTGCCTGTGCTTCCACTGGCCAAACCCACCCAGAACCAGAGGGCAGTGGAGCCCTGGTGATGAAGCCCTTGGAAGTCAGACCTCACCAGGGCCTCCCTTTAGGGAGGAGGTGCGTGTGTTCAGAGCTTTGCTTGCTATTACAGAAACCACCTCATGTAGCTTAAGCAACACAGAGGCTGTGTTACAGGCTGCAGAGGAGTCATGGAAGCAGAGGTGAAATGCAGCCAAGCTTTGAAGAAGATGGGACCTGGAAGCCCCTAAAGCCCACAACGTGTTCCCTTTGCATTACTCTTCCTTCTGAATACTGGTTTCCTTATTCTTCCTTGGTAAATCTAGAATGTCTTTCTCTGCTGCTTGGTTTACCAGGAGGGCACAGTGACTTCAACACAAGCATTTAGGTTCCTGTTCCAGCTCTTCCTTCTCTGCAGCCCAATCCCTTCACCAGAATTATTCTTATAGAAGAACATCTGATGGAATAAATAAGTACTCATGAAACAAAGAATTTTTCTATCCTCTGTAACAAGTTGCATGAAGAATTTGAAAAAAATAGTTTCAGATAGGTCAAAGAGGTATAACCTTCCAATTAAATAGTTTCTCTGTCCAACCAAATGCCTGTAAGTGCCAGACACAGAACTGAGCCCAGACCTAATTCCCTTCTTCACCTGAGGGTTTGCAGCCATAATTGTGTAATTCCCATCATCGTCAAGGGTGGAGGCTGTGGTGTGGAGAGAGCAGGTCCCATCAAGATCTCTTTGAATGGTGTAGTGGTCACTCTTTGGAGAGATCTGCTTCCCATCTTTAAACCAATAGATCTGTGGAAGGAAACAAAGATTAAAGATTGAGAGTGTGTGTAGTCTAGCTTTATTTGAAGGACTGATTAATAATAACAGTGTGGTCTACAGAGCTGATTTGAGTTTTCCTGTTAAAATATGAAATCGAACACCTGAATAGGAAATTGATTTTTGAGTGAAAAAAGCAGGTAACAAGTTCAATTTTATTTGTTTTTAAAAAAAAATTTTTTTTCCCTTTTTTTGTCTTTTTTCATGACCGGCAACGGATCGCAACCCTCAGCGTCACGCCCGTACCGGACCAGGACCGGCCACGGGATCGCAACCCTCGGTGTTGCTCCCACCCCTCGCTCAGTCAGTGAGCGGCCGGTCTGTATGTGGGATCCGAACCCTCGGTGGGAGCGCCACCGCGCTTCCCAAGCGGCGCACTATAGCAGTGTGCCACTGGGACGGCCCGAAGTCCCCATTTTTGGTCCCCATGGGATACAAAACAGAAGCATAGTTGCTGAGAGGCCCCCCTCACCTCCTGCCACCTGCAGGATGGAGCTAGCAGGGTGTCCTAGCTGTAAGTTCCACATGAGAGGCCTCTTAAACTTTGCTTTTGAGCCAGTGCACAAAGTATTGGAAAGTAATGTTAAGTGTACATGTACATTTTTTTTAATATTTTATTTTTGTAAAAATAAGTATTTTAATATGTGGGTACTTCAGAAAGTTCACAGAAAGATTTTACTTTTGAAGTACCCTCATAAATTATTTAATAATATAAGTATATATGTGTGCTTAATATACACACACGTTATACACAGGTATACATAAACACATACATACACATTTTCTTTTATCCTTAAAGAATAGCAATGTTTAATATAAGTTTACTCACAGAAAGTATAATAATAAAAGCTAAGATTTGTTGTTATAAGTCCTTTACATGATTCATTGTATTTGTTACAGCAACACTGTGAGGTGAGTACTATTATTATCAGCATTTTACATATGAGGAAACTTAATCATATAGACGTTTATATGATTTTATAGGAATCATTCCTATTCCTCCTATATTTTAGGAAAACTGGAAGTAGCTGAAAAACCCTGACTCACTCGGTCTTCTGGCCTAGGTACATCACAGAATACAGAAATGGAATGACACCTTAGTGTTAATTATGGTTCGTGGCAGTCTCCTGAATGTCTGTGGTGTGCCCCCTTTTAGGTATATCAGGATTGGAGATAAAGACTGTGAATTTAACAACAACTTCCGCCTTATTCTTCACACAAAACTGGCAAATCCTCACTATAAGCCGGAATTGCAAGCTCAGACAACCCTCCTCAATTTCACGGTCACAGAAGATGGCCTAGAAGCCCAGCTGCTGGCAGAGGTTGTCAGTGTAGAAAGGCCAGATTTGGAGAAACTTAAGGTAAAACTTACTCGATCATCCAACAACACTTACTCAGCACTTACTTTGTACAAATTATAGTGCTAGACACGAGTATAGAAGGTAGGATTCTTGCCCCCAGGATCTTGCGATCTAATTGAGTGAAATGAAGATATGTGTGAAAAATTTACAATTTAAGGTTACTTTTGATAAATGCTAAGTAGTTAGGGTTATGCCACAGGTAGATGCACTAGACCCACATCTTGCTTGATGCATAGGACCAGGACAAGCAAAGAGGCATATCAGTCATGGAAAACTGGTATATGGAAAACTGGAACAGGTGTAGAAGCAGGTCCCTACCCAGGTAGGTTGAATGATAATAGACCATTTTAGCCAGGGCAAAAGAATGAAAAAGAGGAATAATGGAGAAAGGTTGGAAATATTTAGGAGTTTGTAACAAGTTATGACTAGTATTTAAAGGGAAATCTATGGCTTTCAGTACATTATTAAGAAAAAATATNGGTAGGTTGAAAGATAATAGACCATTTTAGCCAGGGCAAAAGAATGAAAAAGAGGAATAATGGAGAAAGGTTGGAAATATTTAGGAGTTTGTAACTAGTTATGACTAGTATTTAAAGGGAAATCTATGGCTTTCAGTACATTATTAAGAAAAAATATTGAAAATAATTAAACTCAGTGTTGAACACAAAAAACATGAAAACAACACAGTAGTCCGTAAAATGTTGAAAAAAGGCAATAATGAAGAAAAAAATCAGAAAATAATAACAGAAAAGAGAAAAAATATTAAAGAAGATTAACAAAATGAACAGCTAGCTCTGTGGGGAAAACCCCACTAATATAATGGATATTCCTCCATAGTGCCAGTCAAGAATAAAAGATAAAAGGAAGATAAACAGTATTAAGGTGAAAAAAGAGTACATAACTACACACAGAGATTAAAATATGTAAAGGATTAGTGGGCCCAACTTTCTAACAATATGTTTGAAAACTGAAATGTTGAATTTCTGTGATGTAGAAATTAAAGATAATTTATGTGCTAACTTGGGCAAATTTGGCAACAGTATTTCTCAAAAATGTAAGTGAAATATATTTAGAATTAAAATAAGTATCCATATTTCAGACAGTAGAGATCTATAGCTTACATTTTGGAAATTGAAGGGATTTCTTCCCACGGGTGAAGAAGTATTCATATTTTGCAAAACTGAGCTAGAATACTTTGTCTTAGTATAAATCAGGGATCTGCAAACCATGGTTTATGGTCTAAATCTGGCGTGCTGCCTCTTTTCATAAGTAAGTTTCGTTGGAACATGGTCCTGCTCATTTATTTGCATACTGCAATGGCAGAGACCCGATGGTCTGCACTGCCAAAAATATTTACCATCTGGCCCTTTACAGATAAGGTTTGCCACCCTTAGTATAAATCAATGGTTCTCAAATTGTGGGTCCTGGAACAGTAGCATCAGCTGGGAACATCTTTAAATCCACGTTTTCAGGCCACACCCCAGATCTCACTGAATAAGAAATTCTGGTGGTGGGTCATGTTTTACCAAGCCCTGCAAGTGATTCTGATGCATGCTCACACCCTGCATGAGGCTGTGTTCACTTGGATTTGCTACTGTGCCACTACAGTCCACAAGTTGGGCAAAGACAGCCATGAGGTCAAGGCTGTGTGAGCAGGACGGTTCCCTGAGGCTGCCTTACAGGTGCGTTCACATTCGGTAGCACAGCTGCATGGCAGCAGTGAGTGATATGCCAGGTCAGGGTTAAAGGACCATGGGCTTGCTGCCTTGTGCAGTAACTGCCAAGCTGGATCAGGGACCACGTCTGTATTTGAGACCAGCAGTGAGTGATATGCCAGGTCAGGGTTAAAGGACCGTGGGCTTGCTGCCTTGTGCAGTAACTGCCAAGCTGGATCAGGGACCACGTCTGTATTTGAGACACCATAGGACCATATAAGAAAATAGTTTTTACATGGTAACTTACTTACACATTTTTTCTTTTTTGCAAAAGGATTGGCAGTTTGGTTAATTTATTTGTTTTTACTTTTGATAATGAAAAATTTCAAATATACAAAAGTAAATAAAATAGTCATAAGCCCCCATGTGACCATTAGCCAGCTTGAACAATTATCAACACTTTGCCTCTCTCCCCTGACATTTTTATATGAAGTAGTTATTAAAATAAATTGGTTCAATATTTAATTAATTTATTTATTTTATTATTTATTATTAAGTTGTAAAGATACTGTAGAGAGCTTCTATATACCCCTAACCCAGTTTTTTGTGGTTTTTTTGGCAACGTTAAAAAAAGAATACTTAAAATGCTTTTCTGCTTCAATGAAACATATTCATTCAATGCCATTCATTAAGAAAGTTTATACCCATTAGCTGTCATTCCCATGTCCCCTCCCTCTCAGCCTCTGGCAACCGCTAATCTACTTTCTGTCTCTATAGACATGCCCATTCTGGACAATGAATTACTTTTGCTCCCTGTCAAGGATTAGTTGACCATACTTCTGTGAATCTATTTCTGGGTTCTCTATTCTGTTCCATTGATCTATTTGTCTGTTCTTTCATCAATACTATACTGTCTTGATTACCGTAGCTTTATACTAAGTCTTGAAGTCAGGTAGTATCAATCCTCTGACTTTGTTCTTACATATCCTGTTGGTGATTCTGTATCTTATGCCTTTCAATATGAACTTTAGAATCAGATTGTCAATACTTACAAAATAACATACTGGGATTTTGATTACTCTTGTGAATCCCAGAAAAGAATAACTGATGTCTTAACCATATTGAGTTTTCTATCCATAAGTATGGAATATCTTTCAATTTTTTAGATCTTTGATTTCTTTCATGTGGGATTTATAGAGTTTCCCATGCAGATCTTCAACATATTTTGTGGGATTTATACCTAAGTATTTCAATTTTTTCATGCTAATGTAAGTGGTATTGTGTTTTAAATTTTTAGTTCCTGTTGTTCATTGCTGGCATATATAGAAAAGCAATTGGCTTTTGTCTATTAACACGTGTCCTACAAACTTGCAGTAATTGCTTATTAGTTGCAAAAGGCCTTAGGCCAGTATTTGGGATTTTCTACATAAACTATCATGTCATTTGCAAATAAAGACAGTTTTTTATTTCTTCCTTCCCATTCTGTATATCTTTTATTTCCTTTCCTTATTGTATTTAGTTAGGACTTCCTGTACAATGTCGAATAAGAGTAGTGACAGTGGCCTTGTTCCCAATCTTAGGGGGAAAGCATCTTAGCTTCTCACCATTATGATATTAGCTGTAAGTCTCTGTATTAGATGTTCATTATTAGATTGAGAAAGTTCCTTTTTCCAGTTGGCTGAAAGTTTTTATCACAGTGAGTGTTGAATTCGATCAAATATTTTTTCTGCATCTATTCATATTACATTTTTCTTCTTTAGCCTGTTATGAAATAGATTATGAAAACATTACATATGTTTCTTCCTTTCTCCTTCACTTTTGAAGTGTAATTTTGTAGGATACAGAATTACTCGTTGGTTGGTTTTTTTTCTTTAATATTTTAAATATTTTACTTTATTCTCTTCTTAGTCA